GAAGGATGACACACCTCAGGGAGAAGGATGACACACCTCAGGGAGAAGGATAGCTTGGCATTAACTTACCTTGTGAGGGATACTGATATTTGGTCATGCCTACAGCCCACGAAATACGAACTCTTTCGACTCAACGAGACGCTGATGAAGCGGTAACAGAACTGGAGAAAGAATTGGCAAAGAAAATAATGTTAAAACGCGTGATTGTTTTTGTAATTTCGTATGATTTTAGCAAAAAGTGCAAACTTCCGATAGTTTTCCTGAAATTATACTTGTCTTCATAAATATTAGTTTTACTTATTTTTACTTATATTTATTACGAACGTCAAGGTAATTAGAATTATTGTATATAATAAGATTGTTTATGTGTAGATATAGATAAAAGGTAAATATAGTTAGTATGATTTCCGTCTTTATTTCCTTTTAACCCCGTAAGCTATACCCCAAATTAATGTCCTCACAAGAATCCGCTAAAACAACAAACGTTTAAAAGAAACTACTAACCACAACATGCGGCTGAAACTGAAATAGATTCTAAATAGATCTAACTATCCTTCGCTTGAAATTTAATCTGCTTGAAAAAGTTTTGATAATATTGAGAGCTGAATAAAATTTTGAGGCTACAACAAACATAAATGGCATAACTGAAAGTATTGCAATACCGAAAAGAATTAAATAAATGTACAGGGAAAAAAATTGAGGCTTGTTTTAATATGATTGTATATGGCACGGCACACGACGCTGCTAATCGAAGACAAAATCATCTTTTAGACTATTTGAATAATCATGGAGATCTCGGTTCAACCAATCAATTCGTACGCGGCATCGTCACGATCACGGCACGGCACGGTACTTCATCATATTGCATGAGTTTTGCGCATTGATACCTAATCTGATCTATATCGCCGAGTTAACTGGTGAATCTGCGCATGTTCAGAAAATTATGATTAAAATGAAGAAAATCTAATGCTGAGAAAAAGTTGATTAAAAGTTGATTGAAGCAGAATGCCCATGGAGACAACAGCCTACTATATAGGAATAGGCAAATAAGTATTCCTACAAACAGCATGTGTATTCATTGTAATGAAATTCGCATACGTTTATTTTGAATGAAAAAAAAAAATTATTTACACTTTTCAGCTGGAGAAATATCCAGAATACCTACGCGTGCTGAGAAAATGTTTCTTTATGTTTACCAGTATGAGACGCTGAATTGGACAAAAAACGAGAAACATACGCCCACCCTATAACTGAGTTCTTAGCTTAAATTTGTTCATTCTATACACCGAATTGAAATATGACGACCAATGGATCCTCTTCAAAATTATCTTACAAAAAAGAGATTATTTCTTACTGGTGGGGGAAAAAATCTTAAACCGGGCTAAATTCAAAAAATAACCACGCAGAGCAAAAGAAGTGCTATTTCTCAATGATCGGGTAAAATTTCGAGGCTTTATTTCACGTTTCAATGATTTTATTGAACTTTTTGATGACTCTCCATACATTTCCTTATAACAGGACACCACAGAAACCAAGCTTGGGCTACCTGTGCTTACATGCGAAGATTAAAATGGAAATACCACAAATTCCACCGAGAAAAAGTGTGATTTCTCTCGTATCTTCATGTTAGCCTCACATCTAAGATAATTTTGAGAAGGGTTCATTTGAATAACTATTGTTCTAGACTGACTAATCTCGTGTTCACGTGGGGTAAAAAGGGTTTTCACTTGAATGAGAGGCTTGTCAGTCCAGAACAATAGTTATTCAAATTCGACACCATATTTCGATTCGGTGTATACTCTCCCTCTCTAGCTTTAGTTGCTGCCTATCCATGCAATTTATGAAAATTGAATAAACGAATTACCCATGAATGTATTTATGGTACTTACAGTAAAGAGATGTCTTTTATTACATGGCGTGCGAATGCCTTCCTTATGTTACACAGATGTAACAGTCAAGAAAAAATTATCATGAATCAGAAAGAAAGGTCTTTTTCCGTGATAACTATATCATGAGCTAGTGAACCAAGCATAAAATAATACGCGTCCATCTGGCACCGACTCAGTGTTATATATGTAATTGAATCTCTTAGCTCGTGCCGACTTTGTTGTGTTCATATAAGGTCCAAGCCATCAATCATTAGCACATATCGATCAAAATAGACAGGCTGACTTGAAGGAAGGAAGGAAGTGCTATTAATTTGAAATTCTTAGCGCACGTTATGTGCAAGATAACTAGAACCAGATCCATCGAGATATTGAAAAATCAACGCTTAATTCATGAGTCTAGAGCCTTCTTTTTACTAATAACAGAGAAAATACTAATCAGACTTTATTTCTAAGAAGTTAATAGTATGATCCTATCGTTTCGTTTGTTTGTTACAGTAGTATTACTTCCTTTATATGACATTTTTCTCGCTTTCACTTAACGACTCAGAAGCAGAGTGCCGATAAGTTTTATTCCCCTACATGACGAGATTTAGAGGTGTATTAAACTCGTGAATATATGAATCCTAAAATTACTCAGCCTCTGGCGCCGCCGATTGTTAAGTATAAAGTAAAAAAAATATGAAGTCGATCACTGTTCTTATTCCGCTCTGAAAGGAAATGTGCAGAATTTAATCGTACTATGTAAATAGAAACGTCGTAATGGCAGGTACTTTGCGTTCTAGTAAAGTTCTATTCTCGGATAATTCACAGTTCTTTCCCCTTTGTTGTGTGTACATAAAACCTCTTTATTTATTAAATCACTCGAATTATCAATGACGAATATAGTTATTTTCTAGACAAATAACACACTAATGATAAAAAACATACGAACCCGTGAGCAAGCCTATGTTATTAAGTTTACAAGCGGTGCTGTCAGTCTTATTTTTGTTTACATAAATAGTGTTTTGACAAGGTATGGAGTTAGGGCGTGCTTCCCCTTCTTCGCCCGTAAATACTGCCTGTGAATTGCCCCTCTGCCCTTTTATTTGAGATCGATGTAACAATTACAGACTACATTTTTAACCCAATCAGTAAGGAGGTGAAATCTTTGCCATTTGAAAAAACATAAAATAAAATGGTGAAGGGGGACGGGGTGAAGGAGGCGGAGGCGGAAGCGGGAGGGGGGGGGGGGGGTGCTCATTAATTCATTAATACAGATGATAATTTTATGGTTATTTGTCAGGTATCTGAAATATGTAGAGCATTCACCTTTAGAAAGTCTCAGTAAGTGAATCGCATATATTCAATCCATTCAGGAGGCCATTAATAAGGGCGTCCATACTGGATTTGTCAGATAATTCTTATCAAATAACCCAATTGTATACTGTGTTTATAAAATGAACAGACAGATCACTCAAAAAATCATAGTGAAAACCTCTCAGAAGATTGACAACGTGCACAAGTACAAACACAGCGCTAGGCCAATATAAATAAAAGTAATGACTTTGATCAAATGATCCTGAAGCTCGAACCAGGAGCCTATCGTCGAAGATTGAAACACAAAGTCAATATCATGAATTATTTTTTATGTTTAAGTGTTAACCTGAAACGGTCTTATCTTCTGCAACAAACAGGAAAATGAAACTTCCTGCTTACAACCCGCGGCATTTTTTGCCTTTGAAAAAATGAAATCAAAACTGATGGAACCGAATCTCATGGAAATGCAAACTTTGAATAATCGTTAAAACAGGTTGGGCGAACAAACAAAAACGTATTTTCTTAAATTAAAAACGTTTTTACTTAGTTGGAAACGCGAAACCAGGCCATAGGTATCAGATCTCGTTTTGGTATCTCAATCTGTAATAAAACAAATGTGTTGGAACAGAGCTTTATACTTCCAATACATGTGTTACAAATAAAATCAAAAATGAATCATCACACTGATTCGTGTGAGCAATGCCACACATTTTAATGCCGCACAAATCATTTTTAATCTTTCAGATTTGTGACATTTGTTTTTCTCAAAGCTGTAAACGTAAACTTACCGGAATTTAATGTTCCAAGCTTTGTATCTCCCAGCGCGTTTTGTGAATGCAAACTGGGTTTTCCTTCTTATCTTCGTCTGGATGGCCAGGTTTAATGAGAAACAGGTTTACATAAACAATTTTTTATGCTCTGACTAGTAATACTATACAGCTTGGTGACAATCGTGGAGGAATCCTGAGGGGAACTCGGACAGAAAATAAATTAAAGCGAAATCTCAAGACCGGAAGAGGGTCAAATGTAAATGATCCCAGAAGTTATTGGGGTCGTCAGTAAATAAAAAACTTGTGAAAAACATATCTGAAAAATATAAAAAGAAAAACGAGAAGGGATGAAGGAAGGAAGGAAGGTATGAATATAGAAAAAGCTGTAGCTTTAACCTGTAATGATGAATATTTTAGTACGTACTATTTAAGCTAATTAATTATATATATGAAGATTAACTTTACACAGCACGCTAAATTTTGATGACATTGTGCTATGATTATATTGAATATTCATAAGTTTATGCCAGTCACGAATCAGGCATGAAAATAATTAGAATGAAGACCACAATGTTTGCATTTCTATAACATAAATAAGACAATATTATTTAAAATGGAAAGAGGAAAAAGAGATTTTGCATAGTACATCGAGCACAAATATACCGGCTTCATACCTGGAGATATAAATATATGTTTTTCTGTTTATCTTTTTCTTTTGAATTCATCAAACTTATATCACGTCTTTGGTCGCCTTGTAAGAAGGATTTGTGTATTTCTCTTACTTTCTAAATTAAGACGTTTATCCCTCAAAACTGGTCAAATATATCGTCAAATATATATATATCTGTATTGACCTTGATCCACCATTTTGATTTCAAATCGGCGACTTGAATGGCGGGAAATCGTGCGCGCACGCGCCTGGCAATTAATAAGAGATATATTAATTGTTTTGATTGGTCATAGTTGGTCATTGTATTTCTAACAAAAGATTTCATTGGTCATATCTTAAATCTTAAACATAGAACGTAAAAAAAGATCATGGCGGATTCGGATAGTTTTTTTGGTGATAAAAGGTAAGTTAGCGCACTAAATAATGATAAAAATCCCCTTCTCTTGCAAAAAATATATTCTTAGTTTTTCACAGATGGCGATGATGCCATAAGCGGGCTTTTCGCGGATTAAAATCTGTAAAACATTATTTCATTTCATCTTACAAATAAATATCATGCAACTGGACAAAACCTGCAATAGATTCCTTGTCTCTATAATATTGATTCTTTATCATTTTTGTTTTTGAAAAATATTTCAAAAGCAGTCCCGACCACTCTCCCCTCGAGATATTTTGTTTTATTCAAAACGAGGCTGCTTTCAAAAATTTGGCGCCCTGGTATGAGCATGCGCATTAGGCAGTAGGGCGCCATGTTTTAAATCGTGCTAAAGGATTATTATAGGACGATAAAATACCGGCCACATTTAAGCATTTATTTGAACTCTGATGGCCTCAAAGAACGAGGAATACATCGCAGTAGCTGCTGTACTAATCTCTCTTGTTATTCTTTCAATTTTTTGCGGTGTTTTTTGGAGTTTTCTGTTAGTTTTTACCTTCTTGTTGTTGGCGTATCTATCACGCCGGCCACAAAGTAAGAAAAAGATTATTACAAAGAAGTACAAAATCAAACCAGAATCGCTTGATAATTCCTTGAATGATAGTAAATACTTATCTGCTGGTGTTAAAGAGATGGATGTACCTTTTACTGGACTCCCAAGCCCAAAATATCAGACCCAAACTCTACGATCACCGATGCCTTTGCTGTCTTCTCTCTCTACTGTAACAAAACGACTGAGTTTTAACGTCAGGTACGTATGCTTTGTCAGTCTTATTTAAACCCCATTCAAAAAAATAATGATCATTAAACAGCCATTACTAAATACCACGCATAAAAATTTAAGCTATTCTCACTCTAATTAGATTTAATTGTATACAAGATAATGACATTAATTTTTGTGCAAAAATGCAGATATTTACTGTACATCACAATGTATTTAAGTTACAGCTAAAACATAAGGTAGTTATTATAATATATTAACAGCATTTAATAATATAAATTATAATTATATATTTAAAATGTTTCAAAGATACAGTACAATTTAATGAATGACTATTATATGTGATCTCTGTAATATATGTGATATTGATAGTTTCCAGATAAAGTTTGCTTTTTTTTGGTTACTTTGAATCAAAAAATTGTTAACTCATATGATCACAGTTTGATTGATAGATTAAAACATGAGAATGCTCGCTATATCTTGGATTGAAATCTGAAATCTTTAATAACTTTGTAAATTGTCTTTCTGTTTTATAGCTCCCTATCACCACCAGATGGACAAACATACATGCTTGGTAATGGCAGCAGAAGATTCAATACAACGATAGGTTCACCAAGACAAGTCCAAAGCCCTATGTCACTGTTAACATCACYGCAGACACCCAAGTATTTTAGTCTCATAAATCCTACCTTACAACCATCAACTGTTAAAATTGCTGCACCAGAAATCAATGACAGAACAGTGACATTGTAAGTAAGAAATACAGGCACATAGCTGATTATTTTTAGTAGCAAAGCAGTTTGCCCAAAGAGGTCTATCTGTACCAGTATTTGTATACTTTCAGCATCAGAAAATAGCTCTTTGCCATTGGTAAGGCATGGCGTTTTGATGACCCTGGTCTAATGATTTTTTTATTTCAGAGATGAGCCAAAGAAACTAACAGATAGCCCACTAAGTAGAGCAACTATATTATCTGCACTGAAGCAAAGTACAATCAGGTCAGTATCATTTGATTATTATATTAGTGACCAACTTTATTGAAATAAGTGTATATGATTTTCTATCATATCAGGAAACGAAGTGTCGTTGAGGATGAAGATGGCGCAGATGATGTCTCAAGCCCCATAGAAAGTCATAAAAAGAAACGGTAAAGCTGATTATGCCACAATTTTTCAGTTGTCTTACAGCCATTCTCAATCACATGTGCCACTCTAGCAATTATTTCTGTTGTTATGAAGAAGGTTTTGATGGACGTCAATCATTTCCATAACATTCAATAGGCACATGCCCTTATAGCTTTGTGTTTTCCAACAATATACAGTATATAGCCTTATATTTGTGCTGTGGTTTGATTAATCATACTGGAAGGCAATGGAAATCCACTTCATTGCTATGGCATACAGTGACCTACAGTGTATAAACCATTGTGCTGTATATCAGCACTGTATGTTTCCTACTCATCTGAAAACCCTCCTAATTTTTTGTTTATCTTTTTATCCAACGAATCCAGGAGATACCATTATCCCAGTGGGAACGAAAATGAGAGGAGAAAACCCATGACCACAACAGACACTACTGATCTTGAAATAACCAGAGAGATCATACCAGAGCCGCCAGCTGTTACAAGAAGGGGTACTGGTATATATAGTTTGATACAAGCAAGATTAAAAAGGCGACCATTACATAATGATGGTAACAGTACCAATGAAGAAGGAGGAGTCATGATAAAGAAAACTAAACAGGACGATGATAAAACACTTGGACTGCCAAAGGTACAGTACATACATACATGTATAGACTTAGCTATTGATGGGAATTAAGGATCGTGTAGTGGTAGTGCACTCACCTCTCATCTCTGGGGTCTCAGGTTTGATTCCAAGACTCGGCCTCACATACATTAGTGAACAAAGGGTGGTGTAGTGGTAGTGYATGCACTCGCCTCTTATCTCTGGGGTCTCAGGTTTGATTCCTAGATTCGGCCTTGCATCTGAGTAGAGTTTGTCAGGTCTCCTCTTTGTTTCAATTGTTTTTCTCTAGATTCTCCAGTTTTACTTCCGTCAACAAACCTAACCAGCTTAATTACAATTCAATCCGTGAGTGTTAACATGCACCGACTTTGATCAGCCCAGAGGTTGCTTCAGGGTTTGAATATTGTGAGTTAGCCATGCCCGGACTTTGATCAGCCGAGAGGTTGTTTAAGGGTTTGAATATTGTGAGTTAGCCATGCCCGGACTTTGATCAGCTGAGAGGTTGTTTAAGGGTTTGAATATTGTGAGTTAGCCATGCCCAGACTTTGATCAGCCGAGAGGTTGTTTAAGGGTTTGAATATTGTGAGTTAGCAGTGCCCTGACTTAGATTAAGCCCAGAGGTTGTTTCAGGGTATCAACAAAAATTCAAACTTGGATTCTTTTTTGAGATTTAGAGATACAAAACACTTTAACTTACACAACTTACTTTGTTAAGGTACCTGAAAGTATTGATTCAGAGTGTCAAGACACCAAGGATGTGCAGACAAAGTCTGCCTCTTCTGTAACAACAAAAAGGTAATAAAAACAAATCACTCAGAATGGCTGTCTGGTGTCACACTACATGTCCATCCCTTGACAACAAGATTCTTTGTTTCAATCACATATACATTCATATTAGTTTATAAATCTTGTCATTGAGGCATGGTTAAAAAAAGAAATAATACTTTAAGGAAATGACACATGGCTTGAGATGAAGAAACATTGTGTTCATACCTGGACAGAGGATAGATCCATGAATGGTTATCACCAGTATAGCTCAACTTCAGCTGTCATTTTATCTAAGTGTATTTCTCTAACACATGGTTTACTTTAATCATAGGATTGYTTCTATAACTAGTTATGAAGATGATAATGACAGTGGATGTGATGCTGATGATGATGATGACATTGTGATGAAAACTGTTCAATCAACCACAGGTATGATGAAAAGGTGTAACAACTAATAATTAATTTACACTGTCCAACCATATCCCATTACTAGGAGCATCCATTTACCATCAATGAGTAATAATGTGCTTTTCTTTATAACAGGCAAGACAAGGTTATCGAAAAAGCAAGCTCAAAAGCTAGTGGAACAAAATAGAGAAAAAAGAAAAAGAATTGAACTGAGAACATCCAGTACACCAAGTCACACACCAGAAAAGCCAGTATCTAGAACAACTAGCAATACTCCAGATCACACAGTATCTAGAACAACCAGCCATACTCGAGATCGCTCAGTATCTGGACAACAGAGGATTTCTAAAAAGCAAAGGTTGTTAAATACTCCTTCTGTATCTGAGGTAACAACAAGTGCCACTGACTCGCCTGCGTCTGGGAAATCAGATGTCTCTGGTCAGGAAATGGTAAGATAAATGAATAGATGAATGAGTGAGTCAGTGAATGAATGGAATGAATGATTGGATACTGTAGTAGATGGATGGATAAACAAATAAACAAATGAATGAATAAATGGAATGGAATGGATGGATGGATAGAATGAGTGAAAAAATGAAAATTAATGGATGGATGAAGGATTAATGAATGAATGAATGACTTGAGAAAGTGTGGACAGATGGGTTGGTAACTCATTGATTGGACAGACATGTGGATAACATGGATGGATGAATGGATGGATGAAAGGATGGATAGAAGTGAAAGGTAATTGCATTTTTTGCAGAAGAAACAATGAATCTAGAATAACACATTTGAACCACATCCTTTTGTTCATTCATTCATTCCTTCCTTCCTTCCTTCATTCATAGATCAAAACCATACTTTAATCACTACTGCAACTCATTACAAATGCAATAATCAATGTTTTGTTTTTAGTCTCTAAAGAAACGCTTCACAGTCATACGCTTTCCATCCAAAAAAGATGAATCAAAAAGACGAGCAGTACCAGTATACTGTGCATCAGTCAACTCACCTGATCTGGTAACAACTACACTAACTTCTATACCATGAAATTATATCACATTATACCATATATAATGACAGTCACATCTTCTGTGCTTTCATTTCTCATAAAATGCCAAAGATGCAAGTAGCCTCTATAATATTTTTATATTATAATATTAAATTTTCTTTGTGTTTTAGCCAAAGCGTCGTCCTGTCACTCACAAAATCACAAAAGAAGACATTGAGCTAGATCGTAAGTTGGCATGGCAGAGAGTTCAGTCTTTACTGGACGGATCTGAGGATGAAGAAGAAGGGGAAAAACCTAAAGGTACTAAAGATCAATAAATACTAAGATAATGCATAGCATTATCTTTGTCACTGCTTTACATATACATTTTTTTCATAAACAATTTCTGCAGTTTTCGATATTTTGTGAACTCGGACATTTCAACCAATTGTTATGAAATTGGTTTTTTGCTAAGGGCGCCTACTGCTCATTTTTGATTTTGATGGCAGCAAAAACGTAAATTTCAGCATGCAGCTCGCAACACCTAGTTTAAAGATTATCTAAAATCACAGTAAAAGAAGCTTTCTGGCTCAGTGCCTTGAGTCTACAGGTCTGTATATCATCATCAAGCCCCCCTCCCTCTCTCTCTCTCTATCTATCTCAGCTGTACGAGAAGTACCTGATTCTGAAGCAAGAAGAATGGATTTTAAAGCAAGAATAATATTGATAATATTCCATCACCTTGCAGTTCACTAAAGTCATTTTTTTCCAGGTACTTCACCATCTGTGGCAATCCATGTTACCACTTGTATGCCCAGTCAATCAAGATCACAGACGACAAGTACAGTAACAACAGTATCAGGTAATTATAAAGAGATTCCTTTCTGGTGATTCTTTTCCCTATTCCTAGTGACCTAAATATTAGTCCTAGTGATGAACCTTGGAGAAATACCATTCTGATGAATTTAAATAAAAATGGGATTTAGCAGTGGCATTTCTACAGAGTAGCTATTCATCCACTGTAATTCCAATTGGAATTTAGGAGTTGATTTTTGCAGAGGGAGGAAAGCCGGAGAACCCAGAAAACACTCAAAATGCAGGAGAGAACCAACAAACAATTCTACTCACATACAACACCGAGCTCAGCAGGACTCGAACTCGGGTCACATTGGTGAGAGGCGAGCGCTCTCACTGCTACACCACCCGTGCTTCCCTATTTCCCATTCCCAGTGTCCTTTATGTCAGTTCCATTGTTTCAAATCCCAGTTCCCATGCATTATTTAGTCAAGAATAAATGTACTGTAGGGTTTACAGCAGTCACTAACCAGATGTATTAATCACAGGTACCCTAGCTACTAGTAGTTTACTTACGCTAGTCTCTAGTAACAGCAAAGAAAGCCAAGACACTGCTGTTGCTACATCACAGACTGCAGTAATTGCACCACGTATTGGTAAGGAAAGGTTTGATTTGTACCTTAACTTACATACCCTCCAGAGGTTTTTCACTCTTGCTCCTGAATTTCATTTTTTGATGTGAAGTCGTTCAGCTAAACTACCCAAAGCGAAATAGAGTCTCTGTAGCCCAGGGTACCTTAACTTACTAGCCCCTTCCCTACCAATAATTACATTAGATTAATGCAAACAAAAACTATAGTAAGAGTGAATAACAAAAGATAGTATCTCTTCCTAACCCTAACCCAAGTTGGACATTTCTCATTGCCAGTAAAAGATTGTTGTAATTTAAGATAATTTTTCATTTGATTTCAGGAACCACACAGCCCTCAACACTCCTATCTTCACTGGCAACAAGCAAACCAAGTGAAGCAACCCCTCTTAAATCTGTACCACAATCAGAGTCATCAGCCACACCCCATCTTGGTAATCTTGATCAAAAGTCCACTACGTTCTTAAAGGAAGCATTAGCTACATCATCTGCTGCTGGACTACCCAGTGGTCAAGCTATCCTTAGCTCTACTACACAGTTGTCAAGCACTCCTGGATTCAGTCTTACCAGTACAACCAGTACTACTGGTCAACCACCAGCACCTGTTAGTGCTCCAATGAAAAATCTTTTTGGAGTGTCTTCCACTGATTCCTCTAACACAACATCTCTAACGTCCCTCATAACAGCATCACAAAGTATACAGACACCCATATGTACCCCTGTGACCCAAACGTTATTGGGTACCAAAACTACTAACGCCATGCCTGGGGTACCTGTGGTTACTGCTCCTGGAGCATTGTCAGTGAATTTTGGGTCCACAGTCAGTAAGCCACCTCAACTGGGTAGCATTAATTCGCGTAATCTTCCTCACATTCAGTTCAGTGTGCCAAGTAATCTACCACAAATGGGGTCCACTGTAACAAGTAATCTAACAGGCTTTAGTGTGCCGAGCAATCAACCGCCGACAGGATTCAATACTTCAAGTAATCTACTGCCGGCAGGATTCAATACTTCAAGTAATGCACCTCAGCCAGGGTTCAGCTTTAGTGCCACTACGTCAGATGCAACCCCAGCACCTGTGACCACAGGAGCAAAAAATGCACTCTTTTCTGGTTTGAATGCTAGTACTGTAGGATCTACCCTACAAAATGCTGCAAAGGTTACAACACAGGCAACCCAACCAGGTTTTGCCACACCAGAAACTTTCTCCTTCAGTGCATCCACTGCCCCCAAAACCACCAGTCAAGCAAGTACGTTCAATTGTGCTGCGAGCCAACAGACCTCAGCACCAAAAACCTTTGGATTCCAAGCTGAACCTAGTGTGTTTGGAGCTACAACTGCTACTACAACCACTAAGCAAAGCAACTTTACATCAAACTTTACTACTACAAGCAAAGGTTTTGCATCGGCTTCCTCTTCAAATCAGTTTGGAGCACCACCACCACCATATTCGTCATCTGCTCCAGCATTTGGTATTGCTCCCTCTGTCTCACAGAACACTTTTGGTAAAACAAGTACGACGGCCACTTCAGGGGGGCTTAAATTTGGCACCAGCACAGCTACACCAAGTGTATTTGGAAATGCCGCTCAACCAACTGCAACTGGCAGTGCTCATTCTGGGCAGTTTTCTTTTAGTGCTAGTACCACTAACACTCCAAATCAGTCACAGAACAAACAATTGATATCTTTCCCTGCTGGGGTCAGTTCTACTTCAGCATCTCAACCGTTCAGTGCATCATCTTCTCAGAGTACCTTTGGTCCTGGGACAAGTACGAATGTTTTTGGAACTAGTGCGACCCCAACACCCTTTGGGTCAACTACCAATCAGAATGCCTTTGGTTCTCCTGCTACTAAGAACAATCAAAATGTTTTTGGTGCTACAAGCCAAAGTACATTTGGTTCACCTGCCCCGTCACAGAATATGTTTGGGAATCCTGCAAGTTCAAGTAGTGCTGGCAGCTTCGGCTTTGGTAACAGCTCTGCTACTCCTTCTGCCACTCCTTCTGCTGGAGGGTTTAAATTTGGTATGTAATTGCTGTATTTGACTTGCTGTGATGATATGCTGATGATTGATGGTGATGATCGATGGTGATGATGGATGGTGATGATGGATGGTGACGATGGATGGTGATGATCGATGGTGATGATCGATGGTGATGATGGATGGTGATGATCGATGGTGATGATTGATGGTGATGATTGATGGTAATGATGGATGGTAATGATTGATGCTGATGATTGATGCTGATGATTGATGGTGATGATGGATAGTGATGATTGATGGTGATGATTGATGGTGATGATTGATGGTGATGATTGATGGTGATGATTGATGGTGATGATGGTGATGATTGGTGCTGATGATTGATGGTGATGATTGATGGTGATGATAACATGATGATGATTGATGGTGATGATACCATGATGATGATGATAGTAAAAGTATGTGTGATACTAGTGTATTGATAGTGGTGACCGTGACAATGATGTTTTTTATGTAATTAACAATAACTGATGATGACAATAATTTATAATTTGTGTTCATCAGGTGCTGGTTCATCAAGTGGATTCCAAAATACAGCAAAGGCCGGTAGGTTCCCTCTTAATTGTTCTCTATATTGTTTTTGGATTTTCTTTTCCAAAAGCTCGTCCATCCATAGTGTTACCATCAATTTGACTCTCTTTATAATTTTCTTTAAAGCACCCACCTTTGGTTCCACCCCCTCTGCAGCCCCAACAGCTTCAGCAGGAGGATTCAACTTTGGTGCAGGCAGTACTGCCAGTACTCCTGCATTTGGTGCAGCAACGCCCAATGCTGGGGGTTTCAAGTTTGGATCCGTAGCCCAAGCCCCTTCATCGTCTGTCGCAAAGGCACGACCCAAAGCAACGGCTGGAAGAAGGCGCACGAGAAAGTAAAAGCTTTTACATTCAATTTAACCTCTAGTTAATGAAGTTTTTTTATTTTATCATTTATTTTGTCCCATCCCCAGGAAAAACGTCAAATTATAATCCATAAATACATTTATATCTGTATAAAGTTATACTAGTTTATTTTCAATTTATATGTAACTTCAAGAAAAAGTGGACCTCAATAGATGTATCAGATACTGTTTCATTCGCTGCTGATTCTTTAGGATCTATCATTTATAAGAGATTATCTTGTAAATTTGTTTATGAGTTTAAGCAACTCTGTTATTTTACAGATTGCATACCCCACACATGTATATATATATATATTAAATAAAGCTTTTAAATAGTTAGTGACATTAGAATAAGTTCCTTTATTAAATTTAATATTTGTGTATGTGTTTTGAATACTTCTTTTAAAACATTCACCCAATGTTTATTAGGGTTCTTTTACAGACGACGGCTCTACGTTTTGGTCTTTTCTCCCTCCCCTCTAGGGGATCAAACCAAAAGAACGTCTGCAAAAGAGGCTAAATCTTTATATCCTGCTATAGATAAAAATAAATAGTAATTTTTATATTCATTGTCTTCTATTTAAATTCAGGAACTGTTATTATACTCTCACGATCAAGAATTTCACAAAGACCTTTACTTTAGAGACTACTTTTTTGGACGAAAATCTTAATTAGGAGTCGCATGGAAGCGAGGCTGGGGTTGAACTATTCACACTTGGCCTCCATTCGGTGGTATTTTAAATCATTTCATTATTGCCTAGATTGAAGTAGATTTTCAAAAATATGATTTTAATAAAGAAAATCTTGAATTCTTTTAAATCCCATCACCTTGGCCCTATTTCTTAGGACCATTGCCGAAGATACGTTAAATATCATTAGGAAAACCAAATTGAATATTCTTGAACATCCAGGTTATTCAGAGTCTAAGCCCGCATGGTTTGCTAACTCAAAATTATCACCCTTATTCTTTTGCTTGTAGCGAGTCTGTTTCAGTTGGCGGTGATGAGGCTTGCGCGTCCTTTGGTTTCTTTTTAGCGTCTATTTCATCATCGATCAGCTCGTAAAACTCTTCCTTGAACGAGACTATCACTATAAATAAACATCACATGTTAAGTTCAGCTTTAGGCCACCTTTTACTGTAAGAGGTCTGGGGACAGGAAGTAATTACCTACCCGACACCAGTCTCACGACTCGCCACAGCCTCAAAATGATGACGAGTTCCAGTCCCCTCAACTCGTTGGCATTAATTGCGCTGTTGGTTGAAATGAAAACCTTGTAAGATTTGAAAAGGCTGGATTTGTGTACACAAGATCATCTTTAATTTTGTAAAGTTTTTACCTGAAAATCACTTCTAGTGTAAACGCAACTAGAACAACAGAGGCGTCCAATAACTAAAAAAAAACAAGCATAAATAATAAAAACTACGGTGTACTTATGACTACTGAGCTTACCAAGCTGTGCAAACTTGTGCAACTTCTTACAAAGTTTTTCAAGGATATATATATAGGCTATGCACTCTTCTAGAAACATTTTTTGCCAGGCAGATAGCTTGTTTACCGCTGTAATGGTCAGCAGTAGCGCACTGTTTAACCCAAGTTATAAGGTCCGATCCGTCCCAGTCACATATGATCAGTAACTTCATTTTTGTCTAGAAAATAAATCCCACGTAATCGAACAAGCCCTTCTACGCTTTCGTATCCACGAGTCAAACAGTAACGCTAAGAAGCAAGTGAAAAGCACTCACCTCCCATTTCTGTAGCCAAAAGAACTTGTATCCAAGAGCAAAAAGCTTCAGGCAAATCTATATGAGAGAAACATCAATATCATTTTTTTWAAATAACGGTCACTTCGTGCTCTTTTTATGTATTTATAGCGCTGTTCAATTGATAAGGTATTGATCCGTTACGACGACACCAACATGGAATGTTCTTACCTCAAGAACAAAAATAGCCAAAATTGTTATGGCAACGAAGTGAAGCAGTCTAGACGCGAAATGATCTTCAGAATCTGAAACGGTTAATACAAAATATATATCAAATATATGCATCCTGTTGAAATTCACCCCACCCCTCCCCCCTTCCGCCGTGCCTGTTTCTTCTCAGCCCTCAGCGTACTTATGAAAATACCTTTGATAGCTTTGAAAGCAATCAATAGAAGAATGATGTTGATGACGACTTCAATGAGAACCAATAAAATGATCGTCATCTGCCACGTGACTCCGGTCAACATCTTCCCCATTAGATTCTGAAAAACCCTGTAAAAGAGAGCGATATCAAATCAAAACTGGTTTCAGAGCAAAATTTAAGCATAGCATCATTGCGGTTTTCGCTGAAACTGATATTCGAACTTGCGGCGTCTTAAGAGACAACTCGCTTACGGATGAAAGTGCATGAGGGTCTTTGGTTATTTTTACTAAAAAATACTATTCTTTTATTACATTTTTTACTTGTAGTACTATATATTCTGTATTATTTACCAACAGCCTCCCTTCACCCATTCTTTCTTGCTTCGCTGGCCTCGTCTAGCTTCCTCAGCTGTTTCCTCGCTCCTATCAATACGAAAAACAGACAAAATATTCATTATTTGACAGGTTGTTTCTGGTCAAAGAGAAGCTAGACGCACCCTCGGTGCTAAGCAACTGCAAATGAGTCTTGAGATAATTATTCATATTTGGCGTACCTTCTATTTTTCTCCAATGAAAACGACCTTTATAATCAAATATCGTTGCATTTACCATATGGAATAGCTAAAGTCTTGAAGTATTGATAAATGATTGGCTTATGATAAAAATAAAATCAAAAAATATGAAATCAAAAATGAACATCTTTATTCATGTTCCTTTTCATGACTCGTTCAAAAATATGATTGTTTTCAAATCTAGAAGCATTATGATAGAATCGCTAGAGCACAGATATATCGCTTATTTTATGTAAAAAAACTAGTAATCGGATCGATATATTAATGCGTACCAGTCAAAAGGCGCAGAAAAAGACTCTTAAATTTTTGCTCATAAGAACAAAAGTTCGCRCCAAAACAAAGGCTTTATCAATTGAAACTAACCTAGGCTTACATTTGAATACCACGCTCATATTTATCACGTACAATCTATTGAGAACTAAAAGCATAGGAAAAACTAGAAATTCTCCATCCTCAAATTTATCTACCCAGAACGGTGGAAGCATTTTAGTAAATATCTAAAAGAAAATATAGAATTAATGTAAAAAGACTTGCCTGTCGACCATTTTCTTTCTTTGATACACCAGCTGCACGAACCTAAATGCTCATTATTATAGGATTGAACGGTTTTTTGGGGAGATTTCTAGCAAAGAAGCTGTAGAAATTAGAATGCAATGAAGCTGATACCTACTGGCCAGCTTCGAACAAGAAAAAATAATAATATGAGCTAGAAATCAGAAATATTTTTGAGAAAATCTTTGAAGAAAACGCCTGGTCTCTCAATGAAGCGGAAGCTGTGCATTTGAATCCATAAAACAATTTCCAATGATTGGACAAGCCAACCACATGTTTGAGGTGTATTATATGGTGCTTTAGAGTAGACCTATCAAGTACGTTGTCTCGTTATAATATCTGGCTAGCAGTGCTTCCATTATATATTATTTTTAGAGGACAAAAATTCTGAAATTCGGGAAAAAACGTGTAATATAGCAATCCTGTAATCATACAAGCCAATTGAATTTTTAAATGAAAAGCTTTCATGCAGATACTGATTCATCTTCTACATCTTCTCCTTCTCTTGTTGCTTCTTCTCCTTCTCCTACTCCTCCTACACCGTAGTCACTTCTTTTCAATACTTATACCTCAATCTTCCTTCTCTCTCGATGTCATGGTCAGATGTATATACATACTGGTATGTAACAAAACGAAACGTCAGTAAGTTTTTTCATCTTTTCACGGTGTATAATTTACCTTTTCATCATTACTGTAACAATAACTGATTAATGGATAAGCTTTGGATCTCAAAATAAATTCGTAAACTCGCTTGGGTACTGTAGTTTTTGAGTTATCTTCTTCAAGACATTCCCCGTCTTTACTTTACGCGCGGATGGCATCTTAAGGCTTTGCTCCGTTACTAATAAACCACAGTTTTCGACCAATCAGCGCGCACGTACTATCCTAAATATAAAATAGATTATTAGACGATTAAAGTGAAAAAAATCACGCCTCAGTAATTTGGACCACTGTTTTGACCATGATATCCCTATTTAAAAGAAAGAAGAACATTGACCATACTGATTCTAAAGAGGACTGTTTATCTTGTGTGTTGTCTAGTCTTTCTTCTGCAGGGATTCTGTCTCGGTTTCTGCTTCGTCTACTTTTCTTTTAGCATCTATTTCATCCTCAATCAGTTCGTAAAACTCTTCTTTGAAGGTAACCATCACTATACCCAAACACAAATGACATGTTTTACACTGCTATTCTACCTAATCTTTTATGGTAGGGGGTCTGGGAAGAGGAAGTAAAAACTTACCCGTCACCAGTCTTATGACTCGCCACAGCCTCAAAACGATGATAAGTTCCAGTCCCTTCCACTCATTCGCATGAATTGCGCTGCCAAAAATTCAAGAATAACAGGTAACGAAAACTGGCTTTCTTCATGCTGTTTTGGTGTATCTATGTATTTGAATTCTGGAACAACATTTCCAGTTGCGTTTTGAAAAAAATTACCTTAAAGTAATTTCGATCGTAAAAGCAACGACTATGACAAAAGCATCTAGCATCTGAAAATATAATTGAATGATTTTTAACCAATTTCATTGACAATACGTATCATCATTATCGCTATCACCATCATCATGTCATTACCATCACCATCATCACCATCATCATCCGTCATAATCATAATCATCATCATCATCATCACTGCCAGTACCATCTTGACCATGTATCATCATTATCACCACCACCACCATCGTCATTATCATCATCATCACCACCACCATCATCACCATCATCATCACCACCATTACCATCCTCACCATGTATCATCATTATCATCACCACCACCACCACCATCGTCATCATCATCATCATCATCATCATCACCACCACCATCAATATCATTATAATGCATTATCATCATCGTGTTGCCATTATACCATCGTCATTATTATTATTTCCTATTCAGTGTCGCAGAACTCACCTCCCATTTTTCAAACCAAAAATACTCGATTCCTAGAGCGTATATCTTCAGGACAATCTGAAATGGTATCAAAATCAACAGGCAAATTAGTCGAGCGCTAAACAATCTTCATCTCGGCACAAATCAACATTCACTGCTGTTTTCTCTGACATGTATAGCTTACGTACTGACCTCGAGGACAAACAGAGATAGGATTGCTATGGTAACGAAGTGCAGTAGATTAGATGCGAAGTGATCTTCAGAATCTGAAACGTTTAAAAATATCTGTTTGGACGACTAACTAATATACCCATGTTCTTAATAGACCCATTTATTCAACTTGGGCGTAATGTTTTGCCTCATTTTAGACCAGGTGTTATTCTGAGAATAGGATTGTTTGTTTCATTGGCATACAAACAAAGATATGATACTCAAGGGAATGACACGTGGTCTGAAATGGCTGGCAAAACATTACTCATATTAGAAGCACAGCCCGAGTAATCTAGATGTTTGGTTTTCATCAATGAAAGATAAAGTAACAAAACAAAAAAAAAACAAAAAAAAAAGAAAGGGAGGAAAA